CCACAGTAAGATGAACTCTTTGTAACATGGAGTGTGCCTCCTTCCCACCCCCCTTTCCCCTTGCCGGGCTCCCAAGCCTGGCTGACTGGTGGTCAAGACGTTCACCGCACGGCCCGTGAACATCGCAATCAGCGGAGCGGAGGCGCCCTGCAGCAGCGCCAGGAAACTGCCGAGGAAGAGGCAAATCTTCTCACACCACGTGGTCTGAGACAAGACCTCGAAGTTTCCCTCCTGCAGGGTGGTAACCGAGTTACGTTCATCTTCGTTTATAAATGGTTTTATAATCCCCTGTAACCAAAAAGTTAAACATCCCCCTAATCCACCCTAGTTCTTGGAGTTACAAGACAACTTAGCCAACTATGGGGCCCCACCCTGTGTGTTCAGGTGACTCAGGCGATCTTCTCATGTTTTTGCGGATGATATGTGTTGCCGGTTTTTGGCGCCGGGTTTCCCCAAAGGCACCACCGTGCTTCTGGTGCAGGAAAGGTTCATGATCATGATGAGAGAGAATCAGATCGTTTCACACACGGCAGGCTTCCCACCCACCGCGGCGCGTCCTCTTCCTCTTGCTCCTAGGTACATGGGGAGAGCTGCGACCTTCCCTGCCCCTTGAGAACAATTTCATGTTCTCCTTGCATCATAAGAATGCAGAGTAGGTTGAGCCCTTATCATCCAAGGCATTTGGGATGTCGCAAATCATCACATCAATACGAATCCTCAGTGAATGTGAAATGGCTCCCTTTGGTAAGACCATCCCAATCTAAGCTCAGCACCCCCTCGGACTCATCGCTGTTGGACACCTCCGTGTACTCTCCGTTCTCCGACATCGGTCGTCACCCCTCTGGGAACTCTGCGCCCGCGAACACTAAGCACAGCCAAAAACTGCGAGGCTCGGCCGAGTGACTGGCAATCAACGAAGCAACAAAGAATATCTGGGAAAAACGCCCAGCTCCGCAGTTCAGCCCCCAAAAGTGGTTGCAGAAATTGGAACCTTAAGCCGAGGGGGTGATCCCTCCATACCAGTTCATATCCATGTCCACGTCGGCTTGGGTCAAAGCGTGAACCTTTCTCTGTTCCTGCCGAAAAGTCAGCCTCGAGGCTCTTCCATCTTTAGAAAAAACGGTGCCTTTCCGATACGGCGCATGGCGTTTCTGCCATAGAATGGGGACGGACAACGATAACACGTTGAAAACACAGTGCTGCTTCTGCCCAAATACCCCCCAAAAAAAAGAGGTAAACACCTGAAGCTGCCGTGCCCCTCCTGTGGCGTTGCACATCCTGACCCATCACTGGTCTCAATTTCCCGCTCACTTGATCAGAGGGTTGGCGAACAGCAGCACCAACGCGATCACGAGGCCGTAGATCGTCAGGGATTCCTCACCAGGTCTGGCAGTTTGGAACTGTTTTTGAATCTTGACATGATTCTTTTGAAGATACATAGGTATGTATATGTATATGATTGTGTATATATATATATTGTATACTGATGTTTTACATTTATTGACACATTTAGCATTGCATGTCCGTCAGTACAGGGGAAAAAACATTGCCATCTATCTATCTATCTATCTATCTATCTAACTATCTATCTACCTACCTACCTACCCATCCATCCATCCATCCACCTATCCATCTATCCATCTGACTATCTACCGATCTATCTGTCTGTCTATCAGTCTCTTTATCTATCAACCTATCCGTTTTTTTCTGTCCATCTATCTATCCGTCCATCCATCCATGTACCTATCTATCTACCTACCTACCTACCTATCTGTCTATCCTAGCCATCCTGTTTACCCTGTCTACCCTATCTACCCATCAACCTATCTACCTACCTACATGCCTATCTATCTACCCCTCGGCCTATCTACCTATCTATCTATATCTATCGATCGATCGAGCGATCAATTTTTTAACATACGATTCACTTCAATACAACTCTACTCTATCCTCTCTAATCCTCTCCAATCCTCTCTAACCCTCTCTAACCCTCTCTAACCCTCTCTAACCCTCTCTACTCCTCTCTAATTCTGAATCCTCTCTAATCCTCTCCGCCTCAACTCTAATCCTCCCCATACAATCCTCTCTGATCCTCTCTAGTCCTCTCAATTTCTGTCTAATCCCATCTATCTGCCTCTGTGCTTCTCCCGACTTATGGGGCACATCTCATCCACCAACCATTCACCAAGGTATGCCACGCTGTTCAATCAAAGATTCCATGAACGCCAAGGACAGCAGCAGCACACCTCGCAAGTCATCGGCCACCTGGACACAAAATGGGCTGAGAACAACAATTGCCATGCGAATGCTGTGGTATTGAAACACGGATATGGATATCAATCATGCCCTTTTGGTATAGAGGGGCCGGGAGCTGGTGAATCCCATCTATCATCATAGAAACCTGTTGTTAAAGGGGTTTCTTCAAACCCCTCTATTAATCAACCAACCAATTGGGAAAAGGATATCTATGATGGATATATCTATGGGAATCCATGATTTTCCAACTCTCGGGGTTTCCTCCCGATTTTCAGCCAATTCTGGGCGGATGCGGAGGCCAAAAATGGCTGAACCACCTGAAAACTGGGGAGGCCAAGTCATTTCCTATGGGACGTTCTGTTCATTCACCAGGGACAATGGAGAACCCCAGGTGTCCACGGTTTCCACTAGTGTATGCCTAGTACTGTATACCTCAACTCACTCCAAAATCATCTGCAGCTGAGCCAGGAATTTCAGGTGATCTCATTCAACATGGGTCTTGTCACCTTAAACACCCCCTCGACCAAAAAAAAATCACCGAGTTTTAGATTACCATCAACATCTACTCGGCAATAAGAACTCCTCCAATGTACCAAATTTCATTCGAGTCTTGGCAGAACGAAGCCCCCACTTGTTGAAGTTTCTTCGAATCTATGGATTGGTTCATTTACACCGGATACCGGTTGAATTTTCCCATGAAATAGGGCAAAATACTCAAGTTTTCCCTTAATTTCCCAGCTATCCACGGATTTTCCCATGACATATGGGGGGTTCCAAGTTCCAGATTGCCCTTCAAGCTATGACCCCCACCTCCGGCTGGCGGGAGATGCCATCAATGCAGCGCCCGGAGGCAATGCCCTGTCCCACGCCGCTGCCAATCGCTGCCAGGCCGATGGCGAAGCCGGCGCCGATGGCGGAGAGGGCAGGGATCCAGACGCCATCGGCCGCGTGGGCGGCCTGGAGCTGCTGGAGCTAGAAGAGTTGAGGTTAGTAAGGGCATAAGTTTTTTTAGTAAATATATATATATATATGTGTGTATGTATGTGTGTGTGTGTGTGTATTTATTTATTTACTTATTTATTCATCTATCTATTTATGTATGTATGTATATATGTATGCATGTATGCATTTATGTATTTGTTTAATTTATTTATTTATTTGTTTGTTTATTTATTTATTTATGTATTTATTCATTCATTCATTTTTTTATTCATTCAATTATTTATTTATTTCTCTATTTATTTATTTATTTATTATTTATGTATTTATCTATTTTTGTATTTGTTTATTTATTTATTTATTGTTGTATTTATCTATTTTTGTATTTATTTATTTATGTATTATTTATTTATTTATTGATTTATTTATCTATCTAATTACTTATGTATTTATGTATGTATGTATGTATGTATTTATGTATGTATGTATGTATGTATGTGTGTATGTATGTATGTATGTATCTATCTATCTATCTATGTATCTATGTATCTATGTATGTATGTATGTATGTATGTATGTATGTGTGTATGTATGTATGTATGTATGTATGTGTGTGTATGTATGTATGTATGTGTGTGTGTATGTATGTATGTATGTATGTATGTATGTATGTATGTATGTATGTATGTATGTATGTATGTATGTATGTATGTATGTATGTATGTATGTATGTATGTATGTATGTATGTATGTATGTATGTATGTATGTATGTATGTATGCATTTATTTATTTGTTTAATTAATTTATTTATGTATTTATTTGTTTGTTTGTTTATTTATTTGTGTATTTATTATTCATTCGTTCATTTATTTATTTATCTATTTATCTATTTCTCTATGTATTTATTCATTTATTATATATGTGTGTAATCATATATTTATACGTATATGTATGTGTGTGTAGATGCTAATAACTAACAACTATGGAAGATTTGAGATAAAGCTGATGCTTTGGCAATATGGTAATATCTACTTGGGGGTGCAGTTGAGGTGAAATGCATGGGTATCACTCTGCGATGTTAACCTCCAGAAGTTGGGATGTAACCCCTCTCGTTATGGTTTATGTGCCATTTATAACCTCAACTGCGCCCAAAAGTATATGGTGATCCTTTGGAAATTGTGCGTTTGTCCATTCATGGCACAAGAGTGAAACTGTGGGCATGCGGCAGCGAAGACTCAAACTGACATCTTCGCGCATGTTCCAGCAACTTTGGTTGGGTTGCTCTTCAACTGGGTCTCTTTCAAGCCTTTTCCCGGTAATCTGGGAGATTTCAATAGTAAACCCTGATCGACCCAACAAAAATTGCAGTTCATTGGTTTGTTGATCATGAGCAGTGCACAACCTGCGGGAACCTCCAGCCATCCCCACCTGTGGTGTGACCAAGGCCATGGCGCTCACTGCCGCCGTCTGCGCGGACACCTGCGGGTGTGCCGCTGCCGCCGGGCGGGGGGCCGCCACGAAGGCACAGAAGCCGGCGCTGCACAGCACTGCGGCGGTCAGCAGGAGGGAGCGAGGGGCGGCCATTGCTGCGGATCCACAAAAATCAATGGCACCGGTGTCAGAAAAATCTCAAAGGCGATCTGGGAGCCCGAAAAGATGGACGGAATTTGGCAGAAAGGCCGCGGAAAAGTGGCATGGATACCTGGAAACACCTATGAAAATCATGAAACAAATCCTTGAGAAATTCGGATAGTTGTCAGAATTTCCAAGGTGTCAATAAATATATTTGGCGCCTGCAGCCGCCTTGGCAGCCTCTGCGCTCTTGGGGGGTGCCATGGCAGCTGCCTGACTAAGTGCTGTGCAACTGGCGCGACCCTTCAATGATACATGACTCAGCTGTTTCATGTTTGATTCCGTACTTCTTCGTTCTTATCATTATCCATGCGCAAGTCCATACACTTTTTTTGTCCGAATGTTTACATTCCATCCGTGGCATTTATCATCATTTATCATGACAAACAAAGCAATTAACCAACCAAGGCCCAAAGGCCCATTTGGGCCCTCAAAAAATGGCTGGTGGATTCTGAGCGACTGGGCTTCGGGCTGCAGCCTCCGCTTGTTTTCGATTGGTGACCTCAGGATTCAGCACGACGGAGCCTGAATGATAACTGCTTGCTTCAGAGGTAGGTGTCACGACCTCTTAGGAGACCCTGAATTGAGGGGTTTACCAATCCTGGGTGAATATTGTTGGGGTCTGCTCCAGAAGAAAGGGAAAACAGAAAGCATGTTTCCCTTTCCATAGATGAGGCCAAACCAAACATAGAAACATCAAAGAAAGCCATCCATCGAGAATCGATGTCAGGGTGAAAACGTAAGATAATCCAATAATTCATGCTAAAGAAACAAACATGTCGCCTCCTCGTTTCCCTCAAACCAACCCAGTGACATCACGAACGACTATAGGATAAAGCCAACAATTTTATGCTATGGGAAATGTTTGCGTTCACATATCTGATTCTCATGCTTGGCAACAACGAAACTGCTTGAGCTGTACTTGGAATTCCTAGTAATTTAATCCATGACAATACCGACGGCCTGTAAAGGGGCAAACTTCCTGAAATGGTTGGTGCATTCTCCGGATTAGAGGCCTTCATGTTACTACGACGCTTGGTGGCTTAGTTTCGACCACGGGTCTACCCGCGATTAAGCTGCCCACTCCCTGTTGTAGTTTCATATCATACCGAAAAGCGTTGCACATCGTTGCACTTTTTTCAATACACGACATATGGATATACATATTATCATATGGGCAAGTTATGAATCTGCAAAATTCATGTAAATTTTATCATCTCACTAGGCATAGACCCTGAGGATTTTTCATCCCAAAAAGGAAGTAGTCTTCCAACCCTACTCCTCTCTCTCTCTCTCCCTCTCCACCTACTGCACATGGGTTGTTTAAGAGTTTGCTATTGAACTATTGGAAATCCTCATTTCTAGTTGATTTATCATCATATTTCTAGTTGATTTATCATCATTGGTCTACTCCATTCTCTTCAGAATGGCCATTTTTTCCGTAGCAAAACCCACTCGGCCATCTCGGAGCTCGGTGTGCTCGGGCTCTCCATCACCTGGGGTGAAGCAACGACCAGGGAGTTGCACCGAAAATACCAGTTTTATGTGGGGAAAACCATGAGTTGCACTGAAAATACCAGTTTTTTTGGGGGGAATACCAGTTTTATGGGGGGAGAACAAAAAAAAAACTTTTTGAAAAGGATCATCTCGGTGTTTCTTTGTTTTTTCTCCATTGTCACGTTAGTTCTTTCCAAACTTCGTCGGCCCCTTGCTGTTACCACAAGTTTTCAAACGGAAAGACAACGACGGATGGCGACAGCAGTAGCCTAGAAAAACCAACTGTTCGCTGATGTTCTCTGATTTTCTTTGTCACACTTTGCCACAAGGAGTCTCTTAAACCTGGAGGGATCAGCCCAGCCAGCAGGACTTCACGCACAGGGCATTGGCACTACAGCAGCAACAGCAACAGCAACGAACCAACAACATGATGACGTCAAGGTCGATGGCAACGGGTCAACCATACGCCACACGGCAAGCCGCGCTTTGTCTAACGTTCGACATATCCCCCACCTTTGTCTAACGGTTGCCATCGCATGGTTTAATCCATTGATACCAGCCTGACCCACATATCTCAGATTGGGCTTGGCATTCGTCTTCCAAGCCTGGCAAGCGTGTTCACTATCATGGAATCTCCGGACCCAAAAAGCCGCTGCAACATGTTCTTGCGATCCAAGACCAGCATGCCGGACATACAGTAGATATTATGTTTCTACTATATGTTTATATAAAGAGCTCGCATCTGCCAGCTCGGACGGAAACCAGTGACATGCTTCCCCCAAGAAAACAAGAAATGAATCTGAACCTTGAGAAGATCTGGCAAGACCATGCAAGACCTTGAATCAACATGAATCAACCGAACCCTCAGCTTTTTTCGGTCGTTTGTCCCAACTGGTGGCAGCTGGTCATACTTGCGGCATCCATTCGGCGACACTTTCTGTGACTGAGTCAGCTGCAGACCATGGCCCCTTGAGGGCGCACGGATATCCTAAAACCGGTCGCCAGGTCGCTGCGTCAGTGGTTGGTAAGTTCCAGTGGGCCTCTTTTCTGAAATGGTTTTTGGGGATCGTCATCCGCTGGTGGGGAATGGAAGACATGGAAAAAATGGATGGACCATTGATGGACCATTTCTTGCTGGAATGGTTGCTGGTGTTCGAACTCTCCAACCAGATCACATGATCACATGACGTGCCCTCAAAATTTCATCTCCACCCAGCCACGTGCGAGTAGTGCCACCCTCTGACATGATTCAAGCCTTCCTTCCAGGGCATCCTGCAGGCATTCTGGGACCCAATTCTCTTGGATGAACTTTTTGGGAGTCAATCCTTGGATTGGCCAAAAAAAAAGTCTAAGTCCAGCCTGCCAGTTTCCCCAAAAAACTCTGCGGACATGGGAAAAATATGGAAAAATGGGGAAATCGCTTAGCGACGCTTTTGAAAAAAACCAGGCATCCCCGGGCATTCCGTGAAGTGAGCTCTGCTCCTGCTGCGATCAGAGCTGCCGCGGCTTCATATTGACCGCAAACCAAGGCCATGATCAAAGGCGATGCACCTTCTGAGTGGTACAGCATCTGGCTGAGTTGAGTAACCTCAGTGCCATGCAACACTGGTGGGTTGGGAGCCACCTAGCAAAGCTGTTGAAACATCCACAGCTAGAACCATTATATATATATATAGAATATATAGACAAGTCCATGATTTCAAAAACAAAGCGTATCGATAGGTGAATAGATTCAAGTGATTAGATGAGACTTGATTAGACTAGTTTGGGTTAGATTATATATATATAGAGATATAGATAGATTGATTGATTTAGGCTTAGATTTATATATCTTTAGGTGGCATGGGTGAGAACGAAAGACTAGAATAGGATAGACTAGGAATGGAATAGATGAGAGTAGATAAATCCATCAACACGCTAATCCTTTTGGCACTGCTCACCTTGTAAAACCGATGCTGTAAAACCATCATCATGCACATTGCTCGCGTGAGTGTTGATCGCTTCCAGCAGTCAGTTTGGCCGTTCACATCCGCTGTCATTTGCACAAGTCGATGCACCATCTCAGCATCACAAGCAACATGAAGAGCTGCAGTGACATCAAAATAAACTGAACTGCCTGCATGTTTGATAAGTTCATCCATGACTTCCACAGCCGAATAAGCCGCAGCATTGTGCATCGGGGCAAAGCCCATGGCATTTGGTGACAGCGGGCTGCAGCCAGCACTGCACAGAATCTCAACCGCTTCCTGGGTTGCAACCCCCCCTGACCATATGATTGGGGACCATCAGCCCAGTTTTTATGGTTGAAAAATGTTGAAAATTCAAAAAAATGGACTCATCCCAGTTCTTTAGGGTTGAACCTGAAAAATGATTGAATCAACCACTTCCCAAGAAGGTGATTTGTTTTAAAAAAATGTCATCCCAAAGGTGGTGGTTCAGAATCATTGTTTTTTTCCGACCAAGAGCTGGTTTAACATGTTCAGCAACTCCCAAAAAAATAATGTTGTCAAGTTAAGAAGTGAAAAAAATATTTTTTTATGTTCCCAATTTGGCCCAATAGGCTCCCAGAGATGGGTGGTCTTGTTGGAAGGGAAAAAAACATCAAATCCTCCCAGCATCTTGGTTGTTCACCGCAGCGGCTAGATGCAGCGGCTGTGATGCGAGCACCCGGCAGGTGAAGCGAGCCCTGGCCGAGATGAGCACCTTGACCACCTCAGCGCACTGAGGTGGTCCCTGAAGGAACTGGTTGGCCCATGGGGTTTCCCACAATAGGTTTAGCAGCCATTTCGGTCGAGCTAGTAGTATTTAGACTGGCTGGTTGAATTACACACTGGTTCTCACAATATGTCATAATAACCCCCAATAAACCAGGCATCAAAACTTTGGAAGCCCTTATAGTCTTGCAGTCACTAAGCAATAGGGTTTTTGGTCACCGCTCACCTGGTTGTTCTTGAACTGGCAAGCGATGGCCAGAGCAGAAACCCCACGTTCCAAGCCCAGGTCAGGGTGGAACCTCTTGGTGCCCTGGTTTGGGTCTGCCTGAAGGGCGAGCAGGTCTTGAACCAGCCATGGATCACCCTTCAGGGCCGCGTAGTGAAGCGGCAAGCATCCACCACCGTCAGACTCCCAAATTCAGCGGAAACCATTCTGATGGAGGAATCCTGCTACACGCGATGGGCTCGGATCAATCTGGCCTTGTCCATCTTGGCCTAAACCTTCTGGAACTTCTGGCGAGAAGAAATCGCAATCCATGCCTCGGAGCATCATAGCCTGCTGGTTCAGCAAAGCACGGTACCCAGGCCAATTCTGCGATTTCAGGAGGCTCAGCAGCTTGCGCTTGAGGACGATCCTGAGAACTGGTCCCAATTTCAAGCGATCCTCCTCCACGCTGAACAAGCCTTCACCCACTGGCCCAGAGCCAGCCAGCATCGATGCAGTTGCACTTGTGATGAGTTCGATTTCTGTCGGACTCTTAACCATGATCCAAGAGTGGTCTTTGGAGAGTTCTCTGCAAGTTCTCTCTAACCTGCTAGACGGTTGGGAACCTAACCGGGAACCACAGGAACCTGAACGGTATGAACCAAACCAGGTGTAACCTAACCGTGGTGAACCTAACGGGAAACATTAGAAATCGAACTGGCCGAACCGAACGAACCGCGATCAGGATTGAATATTATTGAATGGTCCCCACAGGAGCTTTTGAAATAAGCGACTTCGCATTGGGAGATTGTTCAATATAACAACGCCGAGAACAGGCTCCACATTAGCAACTCTTTTCTTGCTAATTTACTCCACATACTGCAGGTGGCTCCACACAGAACTCTACAGTAGCAACATGTTTATACTTAAAATATATTATATTATATGTTTATTTATTTATTTTATTTATTAAAAAATGGGCAATAAATAAATGAATGAATAATAAATGAATATTAATATAATAAATATATATATATATAACTATGAATATATATATATATATTTGTGTGTGTGTGTGCACATCGAGGGCTCAACACATGATCATCATGTAATCATCATGTAATAATAATAGTAAAATCATCATCATCATCATAATCATCGTCCTCGTCCTCCTCGTCCTCCTCGTCGTCCTCGTCGTCCTCGTCGTCCTCGTCGTCCTCGTCGTCCTCGTCGTCCTCGTCGTCGTCGTCCTCCTCCTCCTCCTTCTCCTCCTCCTTCTCCTCCTCCTCCTCATCATCATCATCATCGGTATAATCAGGAGGAGAAGGAAGAGGAAGAGAAGAGAAGGGGGAGGAGGAGGAGGAGGAGTGCCACCATTATCTCAAGTGGAAATCCATCTTAGAGGGCTCATGTCATGCATCAACAGTTTCAGGTTAATGAAACAGATCTGAGGATACCTGACATATTTGGCAACAAGGACTGATGGAAATTGGAACGGAACTGTTGACGAACCGTTTACCGTTTGGAAACGTCGCCTGCACCACCCCCTGTGGTGCCATGAGGACGGTGTCAGCACGTGGTTTGGATGTTCCAGCACCGGAACCAGCGCAAAAAAAAATGAACACTCATCCACATAGGCTGGGATGCTGTTGATGGCATCCAGCAATACTCCTCTAGACCATTCATCGTCCATCTGTGGGCAGGAAAAGTAGTCATACCAGAAAAATAGCGGTCCTGAAAGCTTAGATGTGGGCAAGGGTTTGACACCCTCTCCAAAGCCTTCCGACACAAGATCCACTGGTATGCTGTGCAAGTTGCCCATCATGTGCTTCAGAGCATCCTGCAAGACTCTCATCTGCTTGCACTCCGCGTCAGGGTGCCCAATGTCAAGCCACTCGTGTGATAGGAATGCTGCCTGTCCCGTGTTTTTTCGGAACTCCACCAGCAGATCCTGAGCCTTGAGCTGCTCATGAGTCTCCACCTTGCTCATCCCAAGTAAGGTGTGCAAAGCTACCGTGTACATGGGAAAATGCATGGGTAGCACATCCTCAGTGGGCTGAGTCTTGAGGGATCTTGCATACTCGGCCAGGGGCGTCAAGGTGGCGCCACAACCGCAGAATGCCATGGCACCAAGAGCCACCTGACTCTGGGTCCTACATTTGGGCCACACATGTAGAGATTCATCACATATAGAATGTCTTTGTGGCACGAGAATTCCATGGTCTGAATTCTCTGAAAACAGCCCAGTGTTGGAGAGGATGCCAATAATCAGGTTCTGATTTGAGCTCGAAAAACTCGGGATTAGAGTACGGCACTTTTTCCCTCCCATCAGTTCGGCTCACCTGGTGATAGATGGTGTCAAAGAAGTGAAGGAGCGTGAAGGGAATAGATCTTGAAGTTGCCAAGGCGGATTCAAATATGGAAATCCAGCTGCAAGAGGGATCCACAAGTCATGTTTGGCTTCATGAATGGGACCTATTATAATATCATACCCTCTGGTAAACTAACATAGCTATTGAAAATCACCATTTTTCATAGGTAAAACAAACATCCATAAATGATCATAAATGGTCTAATTTTCCATAGCTATGTTAAAAAACCAGAGGGTAATCACCAACAACCACAACAACCACAGGCAGGCGGATGGTCGAATCCCCTGGCCCGGGACTTAAAAGATCCTCAGACCTCTGAGGGAGCTTCTTTTGACGAGTTGCCTGGTTTCTGCATCTGCTTCTTTTTCCAAGGTTTGTCCATGTTTCCTTTTCAATCTGTTTGATGGGCTGCTCTTGGACTGTTGTTTTGCGCATTGCGGCATTGCGCTGTTTTCTGCATGTTTCCTCGGTTTCGAATCGATACACCTTGTTCTGGTGAAGGCTTTCCCTGTGAAGCAACGGAAGTAGGATGGAGGAAAACATAAAGATCCAAAAAGGCACGGAATCGCTGGGTAGCTTGTAGTTTTGGGGCCCAAGTCATGACCCTTCCTAGGGATTTTGGTTGCATTCTATGGCACACCTTGTAGGGTCATTTGGATGTCATTGGAGATCGTTTTGATGTCAGACTGGGGTCATTCGAGAAGCCTCTATTCTATACATTGATTTATTATATATGTAATATATGTATTTTGTTTACTCGCTCATGTACATCCGACTTCATGAACTCTGAAATCCAGCAAGTCAAGTCCACTTCAAAATCAAGGACATTACCATTGCCTGACCGACCAGTGTTCAACTGTCCAACACCATACACCATTGCACACTTGAATATGCTGCATCATGTGCTCACATCTCGCCTCAACAGGATTTAGATCTGATGTTCTTCCATCAACTGATATCACCAAAATGATCAAAATGGGTTTGTGCAAGGCTAGGCCATACCCCACGTTGTGGCCATTTGAATGATGTTTCACAGGGGGAAAGGAATTTCTCAACGAGATTTTGGAATACCTGAGCCAAATCTGAGCCTCCAGCTGGTGCAGAGCCATGTTGGTGTCCGTGCTTGCGATCAGAAGTCACAGTTGCGCGGAAAATATCTGGACCGCCACCAGCATCCAAAGACGTAATTTAGGAACTGGAAAAAGATGAAACAATCCCTATTTGATCAGAAATGAGTATTACATTCGCTATTTTGAGGTTTAGGCCTTCAGATTTACCATAGTGGCTCTTTTTTGTAGTGCTAGAAATGGAAAAAAGATAATGATTCGAAGTGCAAAAACCATCCATTTCCATCGATTTTCTATCCAATTCTGGTGTTAATCTATGGAATTCTCCTTCTTCCGCTGATCCACGGGGGTCCTCCACTCACCCAATCGGGCCACTGGGACGCCCCAACGGCATCACGGATCAGCACACACGGCTTCGAGCCATAGCTGGGGCCACCTCGGAGATGCCGGAGTTACTCTCCGGTGGTACAATTTCGCAGGGAAATCAGCAAAGCAAAGGTTTGGAAAATCCAGGGATCGACATCAAGTCTGAAGCTTCTGCAAGTACTGGAATGACTGTGAGATGTGTGATGGTTTTTCATGGCTAATCCTAAGAAATTCCCAGGTCTAAGGGTTGCACCAACCTTGTGCCGTTTCAATGTCACCCCTTCAGGTGCCGCACCGGAGTTCTGCTGGAACAGGTGACCACTCCGCCGCAGTATGCGGCCCTCGGGCGCTGGGCGGGAAATCCCCGAAAGAAATGGAGCTTTCAATGGGAACATCTTCCAAAAAAACGGCGGATTCTCCAGTGCCATGCGGCTGATTGCCCGAGGATCAGTGATCTCCCCTGATTTTCAGGTGTTTCGTAAGGGAAGCACATAGCCCATTCTCTCCCCACAGATCCATCGTAAGGGATCAAAAGAACCTTGTTTTAGAGGGTATTTTCCGGCAAGCCATGCTTGAATCCCAAAGGATAAAACCCAGAATAAACAACTTGTTGCGGGATTGCCTTCACGATTCCCAAGTGCTAAAGTTGGGCAAACTGGGCATAGTGTATCATTGTGTTTATATAGCACGTTTGTTGGTTTTGAGCACTTTCACGGGCCACAAAACCAACCATTGAATGGGGATATAATGGCATACAGTATAATGCGACAAACTGCAATAATGAGAAAATGATGATCAACTGTTAAACTGAGGTGGCATCCTATTTTCAATTCACATTTGTCAAAAAGAAAATGGTACCCCAAGCCATTGAATTCCGATGGCTGCACTGCTTTTTGGGCATCCAATCATCCAGCAAAAAAAGGATACAGTATGATAGAATATAGTCCCATTAAACCTGGGAACTCCACATTTTACATCATTTTACCATGGAACCAAGAATAGATGGGAGTGTAAACAGTTTGGGGTGAAGCCAACAGGGGCACCAAGTCACCCCACGCCCGTGTGGCCATTGTAGGCCGGAAACAGCCATAGGGCTGGGTAGACTGGATCCTCACTGCGACCATGGAAAATCACGACCTCCTCTCCTAGTCTGCTCGTCTCCTGACAAAATATGGTATGGTATGGTAGGGCTCAACATCATGGACCCTCATAATATTCCAAAATAACAGGATGGTCCGGGCACCCAAAAAAAACTGAAATCTCCCACCGATAGCTCCCCCGAACCCTGGCATCGCATGAAAGTGTACACCCGCGAAAACTCCTGAGTCGCAGCACTGCAATCCTGCAGATGAGATGTCCGGAGCAAATCTGGAGAGATGACCTTTCACTTCACTGAGGATGAACGCATCACCAGTATGGAAAATTGATAAATGAGACCAACCAGCCAGATTATCCCCTCCAATTCCAGTGACACATGAACCGATGTTTCATGCTTTTCCAGCCAGAATCATCTTCCCCCACGAGGGTTTTGCAGGCCCGAAGTTTCTGGGATGGACCGCACGCCGCCCCATGCGCCTGATCCTCCGGTGTGGCTCCCGCCACTGGTCGACCACCAAGGCTGAAGGGATCGGTGAAGACCTGGGAAGACTCGATGTCTCAAGAGATATCTGGGTAAGAACTGGAAAATAAGGGGAACAAATGGCTAAGAACTGAATGATACTTGGTTATTACATGTTCTGACTGAAAAATATCTGTACTAATATGGGAAACACATGGAAATGCAATTATAAGAAATAAATATACTTGGGGATGATTCGACAATAAGTGCTTACGTAAGGCACTCCTTCTGGTGTTAAAGGCCTTCCTAGAAACCCTGGTGGAAGGTATTGGATGTACTAATTTTGAAGTCACTTCTTCGGGTATTATTAGGGGGACAGTACTGATTATGTTTATTCATTCATATTCATTCTATGCCAATTGATAAAGCAGCGAAATCCCATTAAAACAGGAAGGTTTCACTTCTCTCATCTCTTTAGGATCCTTATTTGCAGGATTCTTCAGGGTGACACCAGGAAAACATGGAAGAGCACTGTGCTTGTTTCCCCCTCGGCTGCAAGGACTTCCTGAGCTCACAACTTGAAACCTCTCATTTGTCATGCCCTCAGCCAGGTCCAAGGATGCTAATGTCGCAATGCCAATCCGGTGATGGTCAAATTACCCTCTGGTAATTTGACATAACTATGGAAAATCACCATTTTTAATGGGAAAATCCACTATTAATGGTCATTTTCAATAGCTACATTAAATTACCAGAGGGTATTCAAGTTCAGGGCCCAGTTTGGTTTGAACCCAAACAATCCCAACGACAGTTGCCAGCTGCCAGTCACTGATGGTGCCTCCATGTTCAATGCGCCTGCCAAGAAGGTTCCACCTGTGGTACCTCCATACCTCTGCGGAAGTTGATCTGGGCAGCTGGGCATCTGGGCATGGGACTTTAAAGCCACCAAGGCACGAGAAGAAATACTCCCGGAAGTGCTTCAACCTGATGTCAGCAGTGGATGTGAATGTGTGGCTTTGGGCTACTATATAGTTGTTTGGAATCCTAGGGTGACCCCGGAATAAAGATAGTCAAATCATCAGTCGTTCAATTCATTTCTGAAGATACAATGTGGGGCCCCCTAGTTATAAGTTGGTTTATAAGCCCCAATAACTATGGTTATAAGTACCATAAACCATAGTTATTGGAGTTATTAACCAACTTAGCTATCTAGGGGGCCCCACTTTGTAGGATTCCGAACCCCAGCTGCTTGATGCGGGCTACTGGCTACTGAGGGCCCAGGCGGACCAAGACGCTGGGCCAAGAGGTAGCAGTTGATGTCATCGATCGCGCACACCTCGACAGCTGAACAGAACGGCTCACGGCTTTTTGGGGGTCCGAAAATCTTGCCTCCTTTTTGGCCAGCTTAACCATCCAAAATGATGATTTTATGGGGTTACAGTTACAGGCTGGGTTACATCGAATTTTTTGGAAGAAACCAAACCAAACCAAACCAAACCAAACCTTCTTTGAGAACTCAGACAGTTTTGATCCAGCACAGCTATCTTAACGGAACTTCCCTGGCCACTGACCTGCGCGCAGGCGTTCACCAACACCACTCCCTTGCTCTTTGCTTCTTCGTGGTAGCCTTGTGGCTGATGCAAATTTTATTGGTGCAGAGCAGGGTCGGCTTGAAAAAAGGTTTATCTTAGTTAGTTGGGCGATGGTGGAATTGTAAATGTCTGACGACAAATAGGCATATCACCCTCCACGATCTGATGATGACGTTGGAAAGGATGTTTGCAGGCGGCCCTTCCATCCTCAAGTAACCTGTGCTCTCGCGCAACTAGCGTCGAGGCGAATGCACAAACTGACGTAACCCTTGGATATGTCTCAAAGCAGCTTCTGAATGGCTGGACCTAGGTCTCCCCTTCTGCTGCACATCTGAAGAACAAATCGATCTGGGAACCCATGCGTTGAAGCATGTCGTGCATCCAAACAGTCTCCCCAGCCACATCCACCTCACCCGTGCAGCGGGAAACATCCCAACCACGAACTGAGTGCGGTGGGATGTTCTTACCAGGTTTTGAAATCTGAAAAGTTCCAGGTTCATAGATGTTGACTCACACCCATCTATCCGCCTCAAGACATACCAGTTTCCCATTACCCCAAAAGCATTCTAAATGCCGTGATTTGGGGCTCAAAATATATGCTCCTTTGGCACGGTGAATCCCGTGCTTTTTGTGTCCAAGTCACATAGTGGGTCTTGCTGGACACGCAGGCCCGCACCACTGCTTCGCCACAGACAGCATAGGGTCCTGACCGTCGGACCTTTCCCTCTGCCAATCCGACGGATCACCTTGGATCACCTTGCCGCACTTGCGAGTTAAAAGTCATTCCCTTTGGCATAGTTAATCATATTTGATCATGTTTGATCATATTTGATCATATTTGATCATGTTTGATCATGTTTGATCATATTTGATCATATTTGATCATATTTAATCATGTTTGATCATGTTTGATCATATTTGATCATGTTTGATCATGTTTGATCATATTTGATCATATTTGATCATGTTTGATCATGTTTGATCATATTTGATCATGTTTGATCATATTTGATCATATTTGATCATGTTTGATCATATTTGATCATATTTGATCATGTTTGATCATGTTTGATCATGTTTGATCATATTTGATCATATTTGATCATGTTTGATCATGTTTGGTCATATTTGATCATGTTTGATCATGTTTGATCATATTTGATCATGTTTGATCATATTTGATCATATTTGATCATATTTGATCATATTTGATCATGTTTGATCATGTTTGATCATATTTGATCATGTTTGATCATGTTTGATCATATTTGATCATATTTGATCATGTTTGATCATATTTGATCATATTTGATCAGTTTGATCATATTTGATCATATTTGATCATATTTGATCATATTTGATCATGTTTGATCATGTTTGATCATATTTGATCATATTTGATCATGTTTGATCATGTTTGATCATGTTTGATCATGTTTGATCATATTTGATCATGTTTGATCATATTTGATCATGTTTGATCATATTTGATCATGTTTGATCATGTTTGATCATATTTGATCATATTTGATCATATTTGATCATATTTGATCATGTTTGATCATATTTGATCATATTTGATCATATTTGATCATATTTGATCATGTTTGATCATGTTTGATCATGTTTGATCATGTTTGATCATATTTGATCATGTTTGATCATATTTGATCATGTTTGATCATGTTTGATCATATTTGATCATGTTTGATCATGTTTGATCATATTTGATCATGTTTGATCATGCTTGATCATATTTGATCATATTTGATCGTGTTTGATCATATTTGATCATATTTGATCATGTTTGATCATGTTTGATCATGTTTGATCATGTTTGATCATATTTGATCATGTTTGATCATGTTTGATCATGTTTGATCATGTTTGATCATATTTGATCATATTTGATCATGTTTGATCATATTTGATCATATTTGATCATGTTTGATCATGTTTGATCATATTTGATCATGTTTGATCATATTTGATCATGTTTGATCATATTTGATCATGTTTGATCATGTTTGATCATGTTTGATCATATTTGATCATATTTGATCATGTTTGATCATGTTTGATCATATTTGATCATGTTTGATCATATTT